GCCGTGGTCACCACCCAGAGCTCCGAGGCACTGCTGGGCCAGCCCACCCCCACAGGTGAGCCACGGGGGGCTGGGAGCACCTGGAGTGAGTTGGGGCTCACCTGGAGTGAATTGGGTCTCACCTGTGGTAAATTGGGTCTCACCTGGAATGAATTTGGCGCTCACCTGTCCCAGTTTGGGTTCACCTGCGGTGAATTGGGGTCAACTGGACAGGGTTTGGGTTCACCTGGAGTGAACTGGGGACACCTGGATTGAGTTGGGGCTCACCTGGAATGAATTGGAGATCACCTGTGCCAGTTTGGGCTCACCTGTACTGAACTGGGGACACTTGGATTGAATTTGGGCTCACCTGGATTGAATTGGGGTCAACTGGAGTGAACTGGGGACACCTGGATTGAATTGGGGCTCACCTGTCCCAGTTTGGGGTCACCTGGATTGGGTTGGGACTCATCTGTGTGGGTTTGGGGTCACCTGGATTGAATTTGGGGCTCACCTCTCCCAGTTTGGAGGTGTCTAGATTGGATTTGGGGGCACCTGGATGGGGTTGGGATTCACCTGGATTGGGTTGGGATTCACCTGGATTGGGTTGGGATTCACCTGGGTGGGATTGGGGTCTCACCTGTGGGACTGGGGTCTCTCCTGTGGGTTTTGATCTCACCTGTGGGTGTTTTGGGTCTCACCTGTGTGTTTTGGTCTCACCTCTGGGCTTGCAGGGCAGTTTTTTGTGATGATGTCACCACAGGAGGTGCTCCCGGGGGGAGCCCAGCGCTCCATCGCCCCCCGCGCCCACCCCTACTCCCCGTGAGTACCTGGGGACACCTGGGCACACCTGGGCACAGCTGAGGGCACCTAGGACATACTGGGATACACCTGGGATATACCCAGATACCCCAGGACACATCTGGGATACACCTGGGACACTTCCAGAGACACCTGGGCACACCTGGGACACACCTGGGACACACCCAAACACACTTAGAACACACTTAAACATGTACTGGGACACACCTGAAGACACTGGGACACATCTGGGACACACCCAAACACACCTGGAGCATACCTGTAGACACTGGGACACACCTGGGGCACACCCAGACACACCTGGAGCATACCTGGACACAGTGGGACATACCTGGGNACACTGGGACACATCTGGGACACACCCAAACACACCTGGAGCATACCTGTAGACACTGGGACACACCTGGGGCACACCCAGACACACCTGGAGCATACCTGGACACAGTGGGACATACCTGGGGCATACCCAAACACACTTGGACATGGTGGGGCACACCTGGGCACACATGGGGACACACCCAAACACACCTGGGGCATACCTGGACACAGTGGGACACACCTGGGGCACACCCAAACACACCTGGAGCATACCTGGACACACTAGGACATACCTGGGACATACCCAAACACACCTGGACACGCTGGGGCACACCTGGGCACACGTGGGGCCACACCCAAGCACACATGGGCACACCTGGGGCACACCTGGACACATTCAGACGTACCTGGGACACAACAGGGGCACACCAGGGATACACCCAGACCTACCTGTGCCCACCTGTGCCCACCTGTCCCCACGTGTGCCCCTCCCCACAGGAAGTCGGAGGCTCCCCGAGCCACGCGGGACGAGAAGCGCCGGGCACAGCACAACGAAGGTACCAGGGCTGGACAGGGGTCACCTGGGGTCACCTGGGGTCACCTGGGGTCACCCAGGGGTCACCCTGGGGTCACTCAGGGGTCACCTGGGGTCATCCAGGGGTCACCTGGGGTCACCCTGGGGTCACTCAGGGGTCACCTGGGGTCACTCAGGGGTCACCAGGGGTCACCCAGGGGTCACCTGGGGTCACTCAGGGGTCACCTGGGGTCATCCTGAGGGGTCACCCCAGTCCCAGGGGTTGTCTCACAGGTCATCCCCGTCCCAAAGGCTCACTCTGGTCCCAAGGGTCACCCCAATTCCCAATCCCCCATTCCCACTGGGAATTCCCATTCCCAATCCCCCATTCCCACTGGGAATTCCCCCATTCCCAATCCCCCATTCCCAATCCCTCATTCCCAATCCCCCATTCCCACTGGGAATTCCTGTTCCCAATCCCCCATTCCCACTGGGAATT